AGATATCCCCGTGAATCTCTCCTTTCTGTGCTGAAAAATCCTCAAATTTGGACCACCATGTTCTTACAGCTCGGTCTAGAAAATTGTTCTCATCTTGTCCTCATTTCATTTTTTGAACTTCCCTATTCTAAGACGACTTACGGAAATATGCCAGTAGCAGTCAGTAATACCCAACATTGCGTAGCTGTTCGGATTTCCGGCTACGCCATTCAGCGTAGTCCATGAGGAAGAAGTGGCCTGAAAGATAAAAAAAATGACCTAGCCTAGTTCTTCAGAGAGCTCATCTGAATGGGAGCTAGGAGCCACTTTACTCCACCTGTACAACTTTTCCATTACAATTGGCTGCTGTACCAGTCGGTAGGTTTTGGCAGAATGACCCGGCAAACATTTCTGGACATAAGCACTGACTGCAGCTTCGCGGATTCGGAATACCCGGTGAACGACATGGTGGTACGGGAACGTTTGTGCAGAGATCTATAAGAGGAGACAGTCGGTGGCACAGATTCCAACACCAGCTCTCATTTCTTCGGTAAACCAAGCATCAAGCAGGAAAATGCGACTTACTGGAGCAGTTGTAGTAGTAATTCATGAGTCGAACATCCGAAAATGCTGGACGTTCTCGTTGTCCCAGTGTGTTCTGATATTCCGGTTGGAGTGTTTGTATCGTATAGATATTCGTGTTCATAGCAAATGCATCTAAATGGAGGTTTTCATCTCGGAAGTAATATGCCCGCTAACTTGCTGCCTGTTAGAGGTAGGTAAGGTAAACCTATTGTATACCATTAGGACTGGTATGAGAGAAAAGGGCAGTTTTCCCGTTACAGGAGATAATTTACAGTTCTTACGATTAGTGGGGACTATATCATTCAACCACTAATATGCCGAGGTTCATGGAGAGTCGAACATGGAGTTTAGTGGGATAACTTGTTTCATACCCTTAATTTTCATGCCCTCAAAGGCGGCGTGTCCCACAGATTTTTTATCCAGTTAATTTGAATTTTCTAGTTACAATTATGTACAGGGATAACATAGGAATGGCGGGTATGCCATTCAGAAGACAGGCTGAATTTTTTCAATCCAGAGCTTCTATTGAAAGGTTTAACACTTCCGCGACCGCGCCCTTCCTCGCTTTTTGATGGGACGGGCGCAATTTTGCCACTGCCTCATCATGGCAATGACTTAAATTAGTAAAGTGTATAAAACATATATTAGTACAAAGCGAAACTTTTAGTGTTCTCTAGGACTTGTTATGCTGATATCCAAAAATATGCCAAAGTGTTGCGACGAAAGGTACGCAGTGGCAGCCATAACCTGGGCTTGCGCAACAATGCGTGAATGCGAAACAAGTCCAAATTCCCCATATTGCGGCTGAAAAAGTCTTTTTAATAAAAAGAGATAAAAAAAATTGTAAAAATTGTAAATTTAGTTGGACACTTGAATAACTTTTCTTGCTATCCACCACCCTCAGCAAACATTTTTTTCTTGGAGAAAAGCAGGTATATATTCAGGTAAGGTGAGAGTGGATGCACTTTGAGTAGCAAATAAAAACGGAGAGTTTTGTGTAACCTAGAAAGATGTTCGCGCTAGTCCCTGTTGTGGCCGGATCGGGGTGCAGGGGGGGGAATTGGAAATTTTGCGGTCAGTGGCTTATCCTGCCGGCAGGCGCTTCTCTTAACTATACAACATAGGAGACCGCAGCAGGCAAGGCTTAGGTTGCTCAGCTCCCGTCCGAAAGTTCCTTGCGCGTAACGCCAACTTGTTCCTGTGGCGAGCCAAGTATGGCAGGGGGAAAATTCAAGCCTACCCCCATGACTTTCTAATGATGGCTAGCAGCATGTCGCGCCGTGTCTAAGGAAGCAAAGTCACAAGTTATCGCGCATCTGTTATGGCTCTTAAAATCTATCCGACAAGAGAAAGAGAGAAGGTTCTTGAGTGTTTTCGGCGATTTCCTTTCCTTTCTTCCTCACCCACACCGACGACGACCCACATCGCAGTTTCAATATTATAGCGGAATGACCATCCCAGTGATGCTAAACGTCACAAGCAAAAGTATACGGCCATACTCCAGGTAGCCACTTACGCATAGTCATATGTAAGCTTTTATGGATTAGCTTCTCAGGCTTTCAAATGTTCATTTGAGTTAGTAGGATGCATTACTGCAGAAATCCGCATAAGACCAACTTACATCCTCCGTAGTGCATGACACTGCCGAAATCGTACCCGAGTCCGAAATGATTTTCAGTTGCTGGAGTTTGCTGGAATTCTTCCATTATTATCCAACGTCGGTTGATCAATTCGTTTACGAAGAACTCTCACGAACCTTCACGAAATTCCCTTCGTATCCTGATTGAACATTATTGAGGTTGACCCGTATGTAGGAATCACGATCGTAGCGTGATTGAGCATGGTAGAATCCGAGCGCATGGGCAATTTCATGCGCTACTGTGCCGAGCTACAAAAATACTTATGATTTTATGAAGAGTAATGTATTGTGTGAATTGATCTGACACAGATCTCGATAACGCCATGGGAGTGGGGCAGAAATGTTCTGGTTCGCGATTCTGTCCTATCTCTCACGGGTGGAAGGGTATTTACTTGCAGGGTAACCAACCCTTGAAATTTATTCGGTTTCCATGAATTTTTTCCTGCGTCATGTCGTTGGAGGCATTGAAGTGAATGATAGCTAATTACAGATGGACTCAATATGGAGGGAAGGCGTGCCGGCAAGGATTGCACTGGCCTTGTCCTTCCTAACTTGTTCTCCGCTATCCGGGGCGTCTGCAGTCCTAGTGTCACCAACCAAATGGTTTCACGCCTGTTTTGGAGGGGGGGTCTTCCTTAGGTCCCATTAGCACCTTCAAAAAAGCACGTCGTTGGGTTTTAGCACAGAGAACTTTGCGAGCAAGTCCTTTATAAGAGCAGTTCTGGTGGGCGACAAAGAAAATCCTATAGAATTTTTGTCCTGAATTCTAGATGCTCGGTTAGCCCCAGCCCAGAAGGTTCTACAGCCGGCCCTGTACAAAAATTTTATTACCTGAAATGGCCGGAAAAACGGTACTGGGAAGACCACGTCACATTCCAAGTGTTACCAGTATCTTGGTTATTTTTGAAAAACTTTCTAAATACTGAACATATTTCCGCTTACCAAGTTACCAAAATAGCCTTACACTATTGCATCCGTTACCGATGGAGATATCCTGACTTGTCCATGATGCTTGCTTTCCTATATACGACCAACATCCCGTTCCGTAGTAGAAGCGGAGACGATTCATCCCGCTTGGATTTTCCTAAAAAGGACATCTATTAGATAATTATTTGCTAAAGCGTTCAGCGGTGGTAATAGAGTGCCAGGTGCAGGCAGTTTTCACGATCACAATGCGGGGATCAGATCCCAGTTCGGGTGCAAGCCAACCGAGCATTTATCACTCCGGAGCTGATGTCAAATTTGCCTTCTGGATGGAAAGCGTTAGCTCATAATTTAACTGACACTGCAAGTTGTTGCGCCAGGCTAAATGCATTAGCGATAGCGCGTGTGGGAACTGTAGTGAGGAGTCAGACGGTGGCCTTTCTCGGTAAGGCTGTCGTATCGACCCTATGATGGCGCTTTTTGGAAACGTCCATCCAATAAGAAGTTGCCGATTTTTCAGATTTTTACGTAGCCGCTGTTGCATAGTGAACAATCTGTTTCTGCTTACCTGGAACCGCAGGCAAGTGTTCGACGTCCAGAATTGAATGGCTTGCCGAATTAGTGTGACATAACTGCTCGCTGAAATTCACAAGTTTTCCAAATATTGTTTCCGCCGTTGACCATCGGATGGGGTATAAAATTTGGTACCGTTTGTCAGCTAGCGACCATCCCCCGCTCCCCAGGATAAAAGGATAAAAAGGATAAAGCATTTGCCGTTGATCAATCCCTTTTTGGGATGCGGCACGCATTCTACTTCCATTTGTACATTCGTGCATGGCATTTGAATTAGCACTATTAGTGCACAATTACTTGGTATACGGTATAATATTAGGTTGGTAACTTTGAAATGTCGTTTTTGATCAAAGATTATTTTAAGTATAAAAGCTATACCAAAGCTTATCAACCTAATTTATTTCCTCCATGTGTGTCATCCACTCTTCCACCTTTTGTTATGCAAAGCATGGAGGCCTACCTCGTAGAACTCTTTCAGGTACGACTCGAAGAAGTTAGGTACTCAAATTTTGACGTCGTCGCGGTTATTGAATTAATTTGCTGCTAAGGAGCGCGGCATTGACCTGGCTCAATGATAGATGGACGGCGCCAGATCTGTGCTATATGGCGCAGAAGGTAGAACGTTCTAGCCCAACTCCCCGATTTTTTGTAGCGTAATTTTCGCGACATGTGGTCCTGCGTTATCGTGCCATAGTTTTATAATGGCCGGATTTCCCACTTGACGACGCAGCGCTTGGCCAACGCGGGCTGGCTGTTGTGCGCAGGGTTCAGCTGTAACTGTCTGACCAACAATCAGCACTCCATAGCAGGGTGAATATCGGTCGAGGAAATCCTCGACAGGGGGTCGTACCTGTCAGGCTGGGTCATGGGGGTCGTACTCTTGGGGGTCAGTAACATCAGTGGCATCGTGGTGCAGATAGGAGGGAGGGGTGTAGCGCAGCAGAAAACAAGGATATGTGAGAAAACATGATATAAAATATCTTTGCAGGTTCAGTCGCTCCGTCCCTCTATCCTTCGA